GAGGTTGTGTTTGAGCTTAAAATTCTCTGTTCCATTAAATTATCAATTGTCAGCCTAGAGTACTGGCATTTTCCAATGTGTGAGGACTATGCACCAGTACCTGTCCTGTATCCTTCCCTGCTTCTAGAAAGATAAAGTGTGGTCCCTCAGCAGCTTAGTCCATGGGTTCTAGGACTGACCATATACCTACATCCATTGATGTTCTGGTTACAACAAAATGATGTTGTAATCACATATAATCTGCATTCATTCTCCCATGGACTCTAAATTATTTGATGACTTTGGATATCTTGTGGTGCCTACTACAGGGTGGATGCTGTATAAGCAGTGGTGCTGTGTTGTTTAGGGAACTGACAAGGAGAAAGTCTACATGTTTTACATGGATGCAATTGTTTCCATTACTTTCCACCTTGGTGGGGGGGGGCGCTAAATTCATGAATGTGGAAACCACGCATACACAGATGTGGAAACCACGCATACACAGATGCGTCAACCACTGAAGAGAAGTAAAGGAACCATGGTAGGCAGGAAAGCAGGTAAGGTTTGCCAACTTGAGGTATAGACATGCTGATGGTAGGAGCCAGTGCTGCAGTTTGCAAAACTCCTAATACTCAGAAACCACCTCAGAGCCCAAACACATGATGGCTCCAGCACTGTGCATGGTCAGGAAATTAGAATCCTGTGGTAGGTGTCATAAGCAGACTTGGGGTGGGTGGGTCAGGCTGAATCGGGTTAACAAGGATTGTCAGTAGTATGAAACAGAAAACCAGATATCAGACTGAGTACCCAGAGAAAATGAGCTTAGATTAAAAAGAAAATACTAGCAATGTAAGAAAATATTGATAATTTCAATGAAAATATAAAAGAAAATATAAGCAAGGAACACAGCACTTAGTTCAAAGGAACAATGCTTACAGGGGGGACAATAATGACTTATTTTTTAACACAGCACTGATACCCCTTGATGGGTAACACAGCACTGGGGTAACACCCAGTTCCACAAAAAGTCAGTGTCATTGCCTACAATCAATGAAAACTGGAGTATCGATAATAGAAGGTTTGTGGAAGTATGAAAAGGGGCAGGAAAGAATTGTTCCAAGAGCAGGAAGCTGCTGTCCCTAAGATGAAGGGTTGTAGTTGCAACAGGGCACAGAATGCTCTATGTCTTCACAGAAGTATTTCAGGTTCTTAAATTTTATTAGATATGGGTTCATGTCACCTTCCTGAAAACTAAAATTATTTTTAAATATTCCTACGTTGACTGTCTTTTTATGTGTTCTACCAGTGTCTCAAGATATGCACCATGCTGCTGCCCTTTCATTTGGCACATAATTACTTTATATTTTCATTCATTCCACACCTGCCTTCTCTTTCTCTTTCTTTTCTTCTAATCCTGGGGTTCTCAGTGCCTTTCTTTGGTGTGTAATGGGAACATGGAACATGAAGGAAAGCCACCAACACTCTGCTTGTAACCTCTAGTTCTCTAGACAACTGAGACCACTGTGTGCCCTGAAGGCCTATTGATTTCAGATTTGGTTCATAAGTATTTTTAGTTTGACTGTTAGATTTAGTAGAGTAAACATCCTTTTCATCTTTCCCTTATTCCTTTACCACATTTCTAGATACTTCCAAACTCCAAAGTCCACCCCCCATTCTAGTGGACCCATGTCCCTAGAGAGCACTTTCAGGAGCCAGCTGCCCTCTTCTGGAGTTAGTCACTTTTCCCTCAGTATAAGATATATCTTAGGGGATGTACTAGTCAGCGTCCTCATATATATATACACATATATATATATATATATATATATATAATTTATTTAATATACTATATAATAAATCACACACACATGGGATTTATTAGAGTGGCTTACAGGCTGTGGTCTAACTAGTCCAGCAATGGCTGTCTACCAATGGAAGATCCAAGAATCCAGCAGTGATTCAGTTCACAAGGCCTAAGGTCTGAGCTGTACACCAGAATACTGAAGAAGTGGGCTCTAATGCAAATGAAGAAATGGACTTGCTAGTGAGAGCAAGAGCAAGAGCAAGCAGACAGCAAGCAAGCTTCCTTCTTCCATGCCCTTTATATAGGCTGCCAGCAGGTGTGGCTCAGATTAAAGGTGCATCTTCCCACCTCAAAAATCCAGATTAGAAGTGCATTGTCCCACTTCAAACAATTTAATTAAGAAAAAAAATCCCTCACAGGTATACCAGGAGGCTTGGGTTTCAGTTCATTCCTGATACAGTCAAGTTGACAATCAAGAATAGCTACAAGAGGGGGTTCATCAAAGGAAGCATGCATGAGTCTTTAAATGACTCAAAGATTGTTTTCTGTTCTCATTCTTGATGGGCAGTTTCACAAGAGTAGACTTTTCCTTCAGAACTTTGGAGTCTTTGTTATTGATTTGTAACAGTCAGGATTCACAATGCTAGTCTGATGCTAGAAACATTCCTGATATTTATTAGTGACTTTTCTTTTTCCTCAGGAAGATGTTACTGTCTTTATTTTTTCATTATTGGTATCCTGAAATTATACCACAAAGTTAAGGTGTTAAGTATAAAGCAGTTTAAACATGAAAACTCCTGGGAATATAGCTGACAGTTCAGCAGGAAGAAGATGATAATGTCCATAGAGATGGTAGTCATAATGGTGGGGATGATGATGATGATGATGATGATGTTGGTGTTAGTGATAAAGGGAATGGTTATAAGATGGTGGTGATAAGGAGTTAATGGTGACATGAATAATGGTTATGGTGGTGGTGGTAGTGGTGAAGATAACTCAGATAACGGGTATGGTGGTGGTAATGGTGATAGAAATAATGTCTATAGTGGTGTTTATGATAAAAACAAAGGGAATAGTTGTGAGGGTAGTCGTGATAATGGTGGTGGTGATTATAGTAATGGAGGTAATGGGTGTGGTGATGGTGATGGTGATTTAGATAATGGTTATGGGGATGGTGGTGATGAAGACAATGGCTACAATGGAAGTGATTATGTTGGTGATGAAAGTCATGATTATAGATTTAGTAGTGATGAAAGTACTGACTATTGCCATGGTAGTAATGATGATGGTGATGGGATAATTGTCTTTCGTGGTAGTAGCGGTAATGGTAAAGACAATAATGGCTATGTTAGTGGTTATGACAATGGGGGGCAAGAATGTGATGCCTGCCTATGTTGGTGATAATGGTGATGGAGGTGGTGCCTATGGTGGTGGTGGTGATGATGGCAATGGAGGTAATGGTTATGGTGGTGGTGGCAATGATGATGATCGAGGAAAGGAGGCAACTACTCTTCACTCTTAAACTTCTAAATAGAAGTTATCCACATCATCTCTGCTGACACTTTAATGACCAAAATATGTCATGGACAATATGAGACCTTAAACAGTATAGACAAAGTTCAATCTCTCTAGAGTCCAGAAGGACAAGCTTGGAAATAACTCAGTCAGGTCCCAATCAGTCATTCCTCCTGACTTTGCATGTGATCATAAAAACTTGGCCTTGCTAACATTAAAGTTACAGCATCCTCTTTTTCCCGTCCTTTCTTCAAGATGGAGCCACCTGCTGTGTGAGTGTGTATGTGCTTGAGACATGGCACACATGGATTCATGTGTGTCAGGCTGGCCTTAAACTTACCATGAAGCTGAAAATGGCCTTGGACGTCTGATCCTCCTGTTGGAAGTTCCTCAGTACTGGTGTTGAACTGCCCCTTTCCCAGAAAGCAAGTAGAGACAATGGGAAAGGACCTTATTGCTTCTCTATGAAGAGAACAAAGTGTTGAGCACATTTGTTTCTTCTTGGCCACAAGAGATGTGGTCTAAGAGCCCAGTAGACTTATTAACCAAAATCCTTCTCGTCCTCAGAGCTCTAACTCCCTGATAGGAATTTAAAAGATGGCTCTGCTGGTGACTTAGAAACTGGTTTGAAAGAAGACAGGGATACTGCAGTCCAGAAATAAAGACTGAAGATATCCTGGTAAGAAATGATGATGATCTGAAGTACACATTAGAAGAATCAATCTAGGAACTAGGCCAAGGGAAGATAGGAAGGCTAACATGACTGAGTCCTTCTCATGGCATGTGAAAATAGCAATATTGTAAGGATTGGGGGGAAATGGATGCAATTGGAAGGTTATAATCACAAAATGAAAAGTGGTTGCAGTGAACCCTGATGGTGTACCAAGCTCCCACTTTGAGTTCCTTAGGTTGTTAAGGAACCAACAAGGGAAAATGTCTTTTTGGGATGATGGAAAAGAATGCGTTTAAAGGAAGCTAAAGGAGTTCATGGTCTCAGGCCGCAGAGCTCAGCAGTTTCAAATTCTTGGCTAATATATCTGGTTCCAACTTTTCTGGCATTTATAGCCAACAGAGACTCCAGGTTACAGAGACAGAAATTTTGACAACAGAAAACAGATGCCTCCAGTGGTAGAAACTAAATATTTCCTGTAATGGAACTCATGGAGGAATTTATTGCAAAGCTCCTTGTAGTAGACAATAAATTCCACTGAAGTTTTACATGAGTTATTAGACTTCTTAGTACAGAGCTCCACATGTGCAGGAGATGTGCCAATGAATGCTACTCAATGGGGTCTGTGGGGAGACTGTTCCATGCAGCCTTACATGTTGGCTGAACCTCAGAGAGCCCCAACAAGGGAGACTTCTGTCATTAGTCAGAGGCTCTCTGAGTCGGCTTTACTTAGTCCAGCCCTTACCCATATATGAAAACCCTGAGTCTGCTCAAAACGCTTTATTTATCATGTGAAGGTTGGATTTTTCCTTCATGAGATGGGGAACTAGTGAACCATTTTAATTAGAGAAGAGATAGGATCAAACCTGTGTTCTGAAAGGATCTTTGGTTGTGTTGTGGATTATAAATTAGTATGGGATGGGGAAATGAGAGGGCAAGAAACCAGTTAAGCAGCTTTTACAAGATGAGGGGAGAGATTGCAGGAACAGTCTGGACTAAGGCTAGGTTTGTGGTACAGAGAAGTAGATGGGTTTGAGTGGAATGCTGGAAATGAAGTCAACAGAGCAGAAACAAGTGACTAATCAGGCAGTGGATGACTGATTACTGAGGTCTGGGCCCCAGGGTGATGTGTGTGGCCTACAGACATGGATACAGCATTCAACAGTAAGGGTCTCATGGAATCTGACAATGATGATCTCACAGTCTTGAGACTGAAGAGAAAGGCTAGGCATCAACTCCGAGGCCCATTCACAGTTGGAAAAATTTGTCCCGGGATCTTAAATAAAGACCAAACAGGTGGAGGGAGAACTAGATGAGGAGCAGTGGCTAAGACAGCAGAGAAGCCACCAGATCAGCAGCTATAATCAAGGTAAGATTTGTGTCTCAACATCAAGAAAGAATCTAAGTGTCAGGAGGGAGACAACCCAGATAGCACAGCTGAGGGCTGGGAAGTGGATACCTTTTGTGTCCTCCCCAAGGACAAATGCCAGTGATTTTCCAGATGTACATGTTGGGAGAATGTGGCTGTGCCTCAGCTCATCAGCATGCCTTCTCCATGGCCATCTCTTCCCCAGACCCTAAGACTTGGTGCCTGAGATGTGGTTCCTCTCGCTGGTTCACAGTCATCTCAGATTTAATTTTTGCATTTCCCAAATATCAATTCTACCATATGGGGAAAAAGACAAGCTGAGAAGTATAAATTGATTTAATAGTTTAAAACAGATGAAATAGATTAAAAATATTTACATAAATACATTTTGCATGATTTCACTTGAAAACTGAGATTTTTTTTAATCTTCAAATGTTTAAAGAAAGATAAGAATCCTACTCTAAGACTCAAAAACAAAATTTTGCTTTCCTCCTGACAGGCTTTCTATAATGAGAAACACTAAAAATATCTGAAGGAAAATAACCAGGACAGATTACTCCTCCTGCCAGCCCACACCCTGCTGCTTAAGAAAAATAATAAATAAGAACCAGCATTGTGGATTTTCCAGAAGTCATAAATTGTTTTGATATTTTTAGTAATTCAATAACCACATGTTTAATATGAGTAAAATATGTCTGAAAATTACGTGTTGTTCTTGGAGGAGGTTGAATTTTCTACTTGCACTTAATATAAAACCAGTGTACTTTTTAGTAGACCATCTGAAAAGGTCACACTTAATGGTCCAAAATTGCATAGCAAAGATATAAGTAAATAATCTTATCACTTCTCTTAAAAATGTTTCACATTTAATAGCTCTGTAGAAACAAAATTAGATTCCAAAAAAGCCAGTTAATCTTCAGGCATGGGGGTGGTGCTCATGAAAAGCAGAGCTGGTGTTTCCCATCTGGCTGGCAGGCCTGTACACTGCTCCGGAAACACGCCAGGGGTCTGTGGGCCTGGCCATCCTAAGCCCCTGGGTATCATGATCCCGGAATGTTCACACGTTTTCAAAGCCAGTCTCTCAAAACAATGTAGGAAATAATGGATGCCTTATGAGTTAATTGGTAGCACATAAAAAAAAAAAAAAACAGTTTTGAAGAGCAACACAAAGCGGGTTAACATTTTCTTAAATGAAAATAGGATTTGGGATGACATCACACAATCCCCTTAGAATATGGTGGCTCAAGGCTTGTGCATGCCAAGTGGAATGCTCTTTGTAAAACTTCAATAATCCAAAGACTCAGGTATGTGGACCTTGTAGCAATGTTCTACAACTCACACAAAGAAAAGGCACGTTTGCTAAAGCATTTTCCATGTACCAGAAAGTTGTCTTGCTGCCCATTCAATTCAGGAAACTACTCTGTGAGGCAAGGATGACATGAAAAGTACTGTGCAGAGAATCAAAGTAGCTTGTTCGTGCAAAATAAAACACTTTGGTTACCTACAATAACCAAGCACATAGTTAATATTTATACATATGATTAATGAGCAACTTTATATATAGTCTTTACAAATATATAACTATACAAGTTGTATAAATTGTTCATACTAAGTAGCAATAGCAATTATAAGCCCAGTGATACAGTAAACTGAACCACACAAGATACCTTGATGATCATCTGGTCTGACAACTCCTTGTCCTCATCCCTATTCCTCATGTTCCTCCTTCTCTTCCTCATCCATCTCCTCCACCTCCTTTCCCTCCTTTATCTATCCACCCCACAAACATTGATGAATGTCAGCTATTTCTGTGTGTACCATAAATACATGACCTGGTGTCAAATGAGAGTTGAACATTTGGAAGATACAACGCTACAACCGTTTGAAAAACAGTTTAGTATTATCTTTTCTGGAGATGTTGTAGTGTGATCTGGGCATGGTCAGAAGACTAGGAACATAGTCTCTGGAACCAGAGTCACATTTCGTTTAAGACCCAGCATGAGAAAGAACCCAGTGTCCATCAGCGGTAAGTGGACAAATAGAGAGAGAGATGTGTGTGAAAACGCACAGTCACTGTATGAGAGCAGGTGCACAGCATGTAGAGAATAGTGGACTCATCTTCCAGCGGCTTCCTCCAAAATATGCCTAACAGAACTGTTAGGACTCCTGTGTAGATTGTACACTATGAAGAGGAGCAAGAGGACCGATACAGAATCAGTGCAGTGCTGGTGCTGAGGCAGAGCTGGAAGACAGGAGGGAGGCTCAGAACAAACTGTGGCATCACTGGGTTTCATGGGAATCACATAATTATTTGTTAACCTACACCTCTTAAGGTAATGTGATAGGTATTGTATTTCACAATAAAATGGTTGTCAAAACATTAACACCATGCCTCTGAAACACACACACAACTGTAAGTATAAACACATACAAGCATCTGACTGTATTCAGTCATTACGTGTGCTTATAGAAACATTTTCTTTTTACTGTCTCATCTTCAGGTTTCAGTAGTTTCCAAAATTCACATAATAAACAATCACCATTTTAGTAAAGTAAAAGTTATCCTAAAACTGAAGGCGAAAACTTCCACTCTGGACTTGCCTGATTGGTCGCTGCTCCCAGGCTACAGATAATGAAGTGGGAGAAGAGAGGTAGGGGACAGCCGGCATTCCAGCAAAGGATTTATGACTCTGTCTGGACTAATAAAACTACCTAGTGACTTGCTCCTGGCCCAAGCCTAGCCTTTGTGTCCTGGGTTGGCTGAGGAATGTTCTCTCTGTTTTGACAGCTATGATAGTCCACTAGGCAAGGGGCACCCTAGGGGCTACAGAACAGAGCCCCTTTTGTGTGTCCCCTGCCTAGCACCAGGGGGCCCTTCTCATCCCTTCTCTTTTCAGATTGCTTAGCATCCTTTTAAGATGGTGACTGGATTCAATCACAGCTTTGTGGTGTCTCTACTTCTTGTTTCTTCCTTCTCCTGGCTGCAAAAGCTTCAAAATCTTCCAGCAAGAGCTTCCTCAGGCCCTAAAATCCATGAGCCTTCACTGCTTTGAGGGAAGGTTGTAACACCAAGGTTTGGTCACCCAATCAGGACAAAAAGCAAGATGCTAGGACCACAGCTTACACACACACACACACACACACACACACACACACACACACACACTTACGATAACAATAAGACCAAAAGACAAAGACTAGGCCACCAACAGGCTCAAGAATCACCAGAGACTAGCTCTGGGTACACCTTAGAGGGGTAATTTAGGTCAAGTTAGCTTCTATGCATGACTATGGGGTGTGCCCTTGATCTGGTTCATTGAAGTGGGAAGCCCCACCCACTGTGGGTGATACCATATCCCAGGCTGGATCCTGGACTATACAGAAAAGAGAAAGTGAGCTGAATACAAGGCCTCATTATTCTCTGCTTTCCCAGTATGGACACAATGTGACCATACAGTCTCCCACCCTTGCCATCTTGCTTTCGCTGCCTGCTGCTATGTCTTTCCAACTATAATAAACTTTATCACGGTTTATAGTTAAACCAAAATAAGTCCTTTCTCCCTTATGTTGTTTCCGTCAGGGTATTTTATCACAGCAATGAGAGAAACTGAGACAACAAGCTTCCTAAATTATTAGTAGATAATCGGAATACTAAATAACTTATCTCATGATGGACAGGGAGCAGAGAATGTGGAAAAGGACAAAACATATCTTTCCACATCTGTTCCCAGTGACCTACTTCTTCTCACTAGGCTCAACTTCCAGCTTTTCACCACGTGTTCCTTACATTTTGTTACTGTGCTAAAAACACCAACCTATAGAAGTGTTTATCTGGGAGCACAGTTCCAGAGGGTGAGTGTGTAATGGTGAAGAAGCCATGGTAGCAGATGCAGGAAGCAACGAGAGTGATCTGGAAGTAGAGTGAGGCTCTAAACCCTAGGAGCTTACCCCCTGTTATGTGCTTTCTACCTTCTATGTCCTAAAAGTTACAGAGCTCCCTAAACAGTGCCACCAACCTAGACCAAGTGTCTAAATACATGAGCATATGGGGGACATTTTCCATTCAAACTGAACCCCGCATCCCAGTGATGTCATCAATCAAGAGATGCATTCATCTCATAAGACAAGTTGTATGTTGTATACCTCCAAATGCCTCCATAGTCTTAACAGCCCCAGAACTGCTCAAGATAAATTCTTAGCTTGGAGGCTCTATAAACTATAAAAGAAAAGAAAAATCCTCCATGATATGCTGACACAAAGTAAAATTTCCACTCTATAAAAGAGAAACAGATAAGTCATTAAAGGATGGCAGACCAAGACAAAACCAAAAACCAGCAGGACAAAAATTTAGTTCTATAGCTCCATGTCCTCATCAGAGGCACATAGTGTTATAACTTAAGGTCCAAAGGGCTTGGATAGCCCTGTCCCTGTAAGTTACAGCATACAAGGCCCCTCTCTTGATTGGCTCTGCTACAGTTTTCTTCAGCACACATTGCAGATTTCTACCATCTCCTATTTCCTTGACTCTGTTGCCACTTACATTTCACCTTTGTAGCTTCATTCAGAATCAGCTCAGGGAATAAGGACATGGGACCTGTCACACATTTCCAGGCCTCCCAGGCTTTCCTTTGCAATCTACTGGAAACCTTCCTGACCTTTGTACCCTGAGAGCCTCTTACATTCTGCATGCCTGCAAAACTAGCATCATGTGGATGACACCAAAGCCTACTGTGAGGTTAGTCAGTGGTTGTATCCAATGAGAACACTAATGTCTTCTTGCAGCATGAGCTATATTAAGGCCTTTGCACTACAATTACAGTGTCTTCTGAATGTCTGATAGTTGAACAATGGAAAATGTTTTCCTAAAAATGGCCTGTGCCAGAAGGGTGCCACAGCATGTTCTTTGCCAAGCAAGGCTTTTATTCTCTATAGTTAATTTATCTTGTTCTCACCCAATCACCCTTTCTTGTCTCCCTTCCTTTTTCCTAAATAGTCCCCTTTCACTTTCATGTCATGCTTAGTTGCTTTTCTGTTACCCTGACAAAACACCATGACCAAGGCAACTTATAAGAAAATGTTTAATTTGGGACTCACAGTTGCAGAGGGTTAGAGTCTATGACCATTGTCTTAGGGTTTCTACTGCTCTAAAGAGACACATGGCCAAGGCAAGTCTTATAAAGGAAAACATTTAACTAGGGATAGCTTACAGTTTAGAGATTTAGTTCATTATCTTCATTGCAGGTGGCATTCAGAAAGACAAGGTATGGAGAAGGAGCTAAGAGTTCTACGTCTTGATCCTGAAGCAACAGGAAGTGAACTGTGTGTCACACTGGACATAACTTGAGCATAGGAGACCTCAAAACCTACCCCCCCCCCTATAGTACACATTTTCTCCTACAAGGCTACATCTACTCCAACAAGGCCACACCTCCTAATAGTGTCACTCCCTTTGGGGGCCATTTTTTTTCAAACCACCACAACCATCATGGTAGGGAGTGTGGCAGCAGGCAGACAGGCATGATACTGAAGCATTAGCTGACATTTTTACTCACAGTAAGAGGCAAAGAGAGAGTACTAACTGGGAACAGAATGGGCTTTTGAAACCTCCAAGCCCACCCTCATTGATACACCTCCTAGTCCTTGCCAAACATTTCCACCAGTTGGGGAGCAAACATTCAAACATAGGAGCTTATGGGGTCCATTTT